TGCTGGATGCTGAAGGTGATCCCTACACAGGTTTGTTTATAATGTACACTTAATATGTGAGACTATTAAGTACAATGGTATCCCCTAATCAAGTTTTTTTATTTAATTTGTATTGTCTTCTATGCTATCTTTTATCTCCTGTTGAAGGTCCTGGTGCAATGGCATCAAAGACTTGTATGGACAAAGTTGCAACCTCTGTGGCTTTAAAACATGTATGTGTCCGTAATTTAAATATGTTTTCTGTGAAAGATAAAAAACACTCCTCTTACATTAATTTTTCTCAATTTGTATTCAGAATATGCCTCTGTATCTATTATTAGAGTTCATTACATACTTTTGGGCAATAATATTTGACATCGATTTTCAAATTAATAAGTAGAGTTATTAGCAATTGTCGGCAACAAACTTCTTGTATTTTTGAGAAACTCATTGAAATTGTAAGTTTAGTTTTTCAATAGTTTGGCATGTTTCTCTGACTTTACATTCTAATATCCTGTTGTTAAAAGCTTGCAAACTCGGGAGTTCTTACCATAAATAAGGATGTCAGGAAAAAAGCTGACCTCTTTAATAAGCCCGTAAATGATACATGGCATGACCTCACCTGGAAGCTACAGTGCCAAACATTGTGTGTCAAACCAGCAAAAGATGGATGCTCAACTGGGGTGGCAAGACTATGGTAGATTTATTACTTTGGTAGTATCTCTTTTTTGTGATATCAGTGATTAAAGATTATCAAATATTGCCTTATCCGATGCTTATAGGGGATTAAAGGAATTATGTATTACAAATTTCTCATTCTATTTTCATTCAGCTGTTCTGAAGACCTTGCAATATATGTCAAAGCTCTGGAGGACTGTCTACTAAGAATTCCTCCAAATAGCTTATCAAAGGTATGGGAAGTAACATCATGTAATCATTGAGATCTCATTTGTTGATGAATTTGGAGTAAACATTATAACTCTAATACTGTATATGAGAGAGAGAGAGGAAGAAAAAGCTTTTGCTGATAAATGGTACTAATGATTTAGTAATGGTGTGGCCATAACCTAATTTGTATTTATAGTACTGTTGTGTTGTGTCCATCTTTGTATAATATACCAGTAACATCAGTGCATTACATTAGCTCTTCAAGTTTTGCTTAATGTGCAGGCACATGGTATGATTGAGATGCCAAACCCTCCTCCAGAACACTTGATCTTTGAACCTTTCATAGAGACGGATGAAATAATTGTGACATCCAAATTTGAGGATTCGAGTGGTCATGGCCTCACGTGGAAAGGGCACAGCAGATGGGTGGAAATAACAGTTGGTGTCATAGGAAAACGTGGATCGATGTACTCACTTAGTCCCAGTGTAACTGTCAAGGAATCTGGCGACATTTTGTCACTAGAGGAGAAGTTCCAAGGTTGGTCTCCTTAGAATTACCTAGAATTTAACTATAATCTTTGTTTTATAGAAGGACAATTCATAATTGAAAATAGCATGACCTCCATGCATGTATTATTAGCTAGGAATTTACATTTTAAATTGAAGTGGACAACACTTAGAAACTGCAGTATAAAGATAGAAATTAGTGCCCTTGCTCCTATAGAGTATTGGAGTTGTGAAGCTTAAGATTTCTATGAAGAAAATGATAAACTTAAAAGTTGCCAGAATCAAAGGATTTTTCAGTTAAGAAGCGGTAGATAGTATGTATGTTCAGTAAGATCAAATATCTGAGTCAGCAATTTTTGGAGGTGAAATTGGGGATTGTGTTTGGTTCAGCTTATTGTAAAGAAATAATCACTTTTAAGCATGTACTAATTATTTCCCAAAAATAATATCTAACCAAACACACTAAAACATACCACGAGTAGCATGGTTTATGTTTCTCGGATCCATCTTTCAAAATGATGGGGAGATTGATGAACTCTTATGATTTTCAAGCTGGGCAAATGAGCCAGAGAAATGCCTCAAGCATATTTTGTGATCGAAAGTGCACATCATACTCAAAAGAAAATGCTTTCAGCATAATGGCTGTGCTGTAAAGCTTTATAATCCTAAGTGCGTAATAAGCTAATCCAAGCTAAGTATAAAGGTTATGAGGATGATACTGTTGATTAGTAGACAACATGTATCCAGGATAAAGTTATAACCCCCTTGAGGCTTTTTTTTTTTTGGGGGGGGGGGGGGGGGGGGTCAATGCCTCTGATCTATCTTTATTTCTATTATTTTTCCTACCTTTGTCCCAATCTTATCTATTCAAAATGGTACATTTTCATCCTTTACTTGTATATTGCTTGGCAGGTGGGACTGGCATCAATCTGACTCCGCCTCCCCTGTCAATTATGAGGTATGTTAAAGAAATTCCACATCCAATGGTAGAACCTTCTTTATGCCTCATAATCTGATGTGTCTTGTTTTATTAGTTTTATCACATTCTTAGTAGCATTGGAAGTTTGGAATTCAATATTTGATAAGGGCGTAGCATGTCAATAAGACTTGATTTTATCGACAGTTTGCTGATGATTAAGTTCTGTATTACTTATGGCGGGGTTGATACATTCTACCCTAGTATCAATTATAGTACCTTAATTTCCATCTATATATAGATAGGTCAAACCGTTGAAATTGGAAGCATGCGTCCAATTCACTATGGGTTTGTTGAATTACATTGTTTGGTTTTGTAAATCCATCCTCTTTTGCAATTAAGGATGGTGCTATTGGATTTCTATGCTTGATACTACTTAGTCTCGGAAGTTTCTTATGGAATGCAATGCAGATTCCTAATTTTGTAATATTAGTGGATTGTGCCAGATTACATCTTGTAATTATTATTTACAGAAAGGTTATACTGTTTGAGAAATCATTGTTTGCTCACTATGCAATGTTTATGTTGTATTGACCCATTTATTTCTTACTCGAGTCTTCGTAGGTTTCTTTGAATTTTGATTGACAGTTATCTTTTTCTTCTCTATATAGTGAGAATGCTTTGAACAGATGTAAACAGCATATTGAACTGATTGCAAACACACTACAATTGGAAGGATTTTCACGTATTGATGCATTTGTCAATGTTGACAGCGGAGAGGTTTGTTGAACTCCTCGTTTGGACATGTTTTCTCCATCCTCTTTCTCCTTGTTTTTTAAGTTGTCTATTCGAAGTTAATGTTACAAATTTTGCAAACAATTCAACCTGAATCTTAAGCTATTCCTTTTTAATTTGAAATGAAATTTACTTTGTCCTGCTTTGTACAGGAGAAGAATTTGGGAAGGTTGAAAGTTGAGTGCAACACGTTTATACTAAACAGCAATGAATGAGATAAAACATTTCCAATATGTTTCTAATTTATTTCCTGTCTATTTTCTATCTACTTAAACAAGCATAGCATTGGTATAAGATTTGCATTTTGTCCTCAAAATGTATTTCAAGGTTCTTAGAATGATTAAAAAAACTGTTGATGTTGTTGGGGATATTTTTTTGGTATTTGTCTGAGGGGATATTTATATTAAGAGAAGAGTTATAACTTTGTTATTTTTATAAAGTTATTTCACACATAATTTCATAATAGTTAGATATTGTCTGCTTTGAGATTAAGCAGATATTTATATCAAGAGGAAAGTTATAATTTTGTTATTTTTATAGGTTATTTCACACACAACTCTATAATGGTGAAATATTATCCACTTTGGGACTAAGTTCTCATGGTTTTGTTATTGATTATCACCCAAAATGTCTCTTAACCATTGAAATATGTGTATGTTTTATAAACTATTATTTCTTTTCTTATTTTCTTAATGTGATATCTTGTTTATATCTCAGTAGATGTATATTCTAAAGTATCACATTCTTTGATTATGAAGATGGCTTTATTAATATTCCTATAATAAATTTTTAATTGTTAACCATTCTCCATTTTTCAGCTGAAATATGCTGATCTGCTAGTATGCTGACTACACATCCTTGTTTCAGTGCATAGAAGTTTATTGAGAGTCTGCTTAATAGAATGTCATCATCAATTCATTGGAATGAAAATAATAAAATTCTCATACAGGAATTCTGTTAAAATGACTAATCATCATCTTATTCCTATACTTTCAATGTTTGTAGGTTTTGATTATTGAGGTAAATACTGTGCCTGGAATGACGCCTTCCACTGTTCTGATTCATCAGGTTAAGTCTTGCTATGATATAATTACTTTTCTTTCATAATCTTTTCTGTGTATTTTCCGCTCTATCTAGGCACTCACCAAGTATATGCTTTCATCACATAGAGGTTGAATTAGGGAATTATTTATTCAACACAGCATTTAAAAGCAGTTGGCATATTACAAAGGCTAAATGACATGAACTTGATAGAATTTAAATCTTACTTTTAAGTGTACGGAGCAAAAGGAAGCATACCAAATAGAAAAATAAAAATAAGACTAAAATAAGGATGGGTAATATATATATATATATATATATATATATATAAAAGGAATGTTAGTGATCCTTTCTTTAACACTTTCTTTACTGTTGGTCTAAATTTATTCAAAAATTATTTTATTTTATAAATTTCTTATCTTATTTAATAAGTCTCTTTCCTTATTCAATAGTGAAACTCATCAAAATTTTGATTATCAATAAATTTTAACTAATAATAAAAGGTGATAGAAAGAGACCGCACTAACATTCTTCTATATATTAATATTTAGGATATCTTTATTCAAGAAAAAATAAGACTTATTTCTACCCAATAGAGAAATAAAAATAAGAATAAAATAAGTATATATGCTACTGATCCTATCTCTAATACTTTTTTTATTCTTAACTGAAATATCCTGAAAATCATAATTTTGTTTATAAACCCCATGTGTCATATGAGAGGTCTCTCTTTATTTAATGGTGGAAACCATAAAAAGTGTGATTACCATTAATTTTAGCCAATAATAAGAGAGTGTTAGAAAGACAGCATCAATAACGGTATTTTTCGCTATATAAATATTTAAGGCATCTTTATTCAAGTAATAAGAACCAACACTAGAACAAACATCTGTATTCAGTTTTATGATTCTGACTAATCATTCTATGCATATCTCAGGCATTAGTTGAACAACCACCGTTGTATCCTCATCAGTTCTTCCGTAAGCTTCTTGATTTGGCCTCTGAAAGGTCTATGTAAATCTGTTTAAAATATAATGTTTGCATTGTTTTCAGCAAATGCTGTTAAAACTCAAGTTATTGTGCAGCAGCAAAAAACATTCATATTTTCCTATCTGGAACTAGCTTCCCTTTATAATGGGAAACTTCAATTTTATTCTTGTGTTGCTTCCCTTCCAAGTATGTTTTCACATGCAATTAGAGATTATACCGTTTGTGTCTTTCTTATCTCCTTTCTACAAATTCGTAGAAGTAGTTCAATAATGAGCATGAATATCCTCTCTCAAGGTATTTATGTAATATTTGGCACTAATCATTAACTATACTAAACTATCTAAAATGAAAATTGCAATTGATTGCGAAAATAAAAAAAAATGCTTTAATAAAGATAAATGTTATAAAAAAATATTTTTGATATTTTTATAAATACTTGAAATGCAAGAATTAATTTTAAAAAAATAATGAAATATATATGTTGAAGTTTAATTTTAGCAAACCAACTTTTCGTGCTTACAAACAAATTTTAATCCCATTATAAGTTCAAAAATTATCATCTAAATCATAAATATACTCAAATTTTAATTTTTTTAAAACTAGAATATAAATGATTAAGTTATCAAGTTTTTTGCATAATTTAACCAAGAAAACAACTTTTAAAACAAGAGTATATGAATGAGTAATAACATTTACTCCATTTGCAGGACTAAGCATTATTCTACCACAATTCAAAGGTTTATAATTATTTTTTAATCACTTTAAACTCACAAAATTTAGTTAAGAGAGATCAAATTATAACAAGCATTAAATAAAGAAGAAATAAATAACATTAAATAATAACTAAGATTAATAACTTAAAAATTATGAACATGAGATTTGGTATGGTTATACTAAACCCCAACAAAGGTAAATGTAGTTACACACAGACATAGAGTACTAGAAAAAAAATATAGAGATGAAGAAACTTGATCTTAAATTCATAAGAGCTCTTAAATTCATATTGTGACGAAAATGAATCGACTTGCTAAAATTCTCAAGTTAAAACTTTTGTGTGAATTAAAATGATTTTTTTTTATAAGCTATATAAAAGAGTTTTTGTAAATTAATTTATATTTTTGGCTTACACATCATAGCTCATTTTTTATTCTTTTATAAGTATTTATCAATAAATAAAAGCCTACTCAGATTGAACCTAAATAGATAATAAAAAAATGTGTGGATTCAACTAATAATTTAAAGAGATTAAAATGCATGTAATATTATTTATATCATCCAACATTGTTGAAAAACATGGACTTGAAATAAAGTACGGATAACAAAATGTTGATATTTAAAACCTTATATAAAAGTGGAATAAACATGCAATTCGATTCTTGAAAGATGATAGAAGTCACTGATATATTTTTGTAAGATTTTTCGTAGCATTTGAATCCCTAAATTTTAACTTCATTGTGAATTTTAGTCATTTTGTTATACTCAATTGTTAATTTTATTAGTTAACAACTTAACATAAACACCCATATTTGATTATTAAATATAGCAGAAACACCCATATTTGATTGATATACACTTGCTTGAGAACTTTTAGAATGACCACTCATTTTGCTAAACTTCAAATTCAATAATTTAGGGTTTACAATACTAAATATGTAACTAGAATAGACGAAGAAATTAAGGATAATTGAGAAAGAAAAATCCAACTACGAGAAACTCTATGAAACCTAATAACAACCTAGCTTCCATTTTAACTAGAGTACCCATGGTCAGCATAACAAAGTGTTCATTATTGATTAGAAGGTAGAAAAATCTTGCATTATGATCCATATTATTAAGTGATTAGGAAAAGAGAGAGAGAGAGAGAAAGAGAACAACCAACTAAAAGAGACAATAGGTATCAACTTGACATCTAACTGTTGACTATTCAGGAAACAATAGAGTTAGTAACAATATAACTAAAATTTATGGACTCAAATGCCACAAATTTTTTTTTAAAACTCTATCAGTCACCTCTATCATCTTTCAAAAATCAAATTGGGTGTTTACTCAATAAGGGTGCTTAAAAAAACAATAAGAAATTGTGGTTGTAAGAAGAATAAAAAGCTATAAATCATTATTAAAATAAGCTTAAAATCTTAGAAAAAAAACTAAAATCTAAAAATTGATAAATGTAGGCGCACACATATATAAAAAAAAATGAGAGATCTATTTACTCTAAAAGTAAGTCATGATAAACTTATACTCAATACCTCATGTTCTATATTAAATTTCAATGACTTAAATATTGAATTAAAAGTTCTTAATGCATAAACTAAGTCTACAAATTAAAAAAAAATTATTTGATACTTCATTTTATTAATTCAAATTAATAAATAATCATATAAGGATTTTATACATTAATTTAAATTTATATAATGAAGTTTCAAATAGTTTTCAAAAATTTTAAAAATTTACAAATTGATCTATACATTAAAAACTTTTAATTTAACAATTAATTTGTAAAAATTTGAAGTAGAATATAAGTTATTGAGAGGAATAAGTCAACATATATATATATATATATATATATATATATATAAGATCAAGATCTGTTGATACCATAGTGTCTAACTAGTGAGGTAACACTTTCAATTAATTTTTTATAAAATGTAAATTTAATCGATCCAATCGTTATATTTGGAGATATTACACTTATAATTATACATATCAAATTTCAATTAATTTGAACTCTTAGACATACCTAACAACAGATATTTATATGTATTTTGAGTATCATTTTATACATTAAAATAAAATGATATGATGAACTACCAAATAATTTTAAAATTGTATATAATTTTATATACTTAATTTAATTATTAATATCATTAAATACAACAATTAGATTAGTTAAATTTGTATTCTATAAAAGTTATTGAATATGTCATTTAACTAATTTAACATCATATATATTATATATATCATGATTTTTTCCTAAATCATTAAAAAATAAAATAAAAGTTGAATTACATTTTTTGTCTTCTTATAATTTTTAATCTACAATTTTAATCTCCTAATTTTTAAATTTGCAATTTTAGTCCTTAAATTTTATAAAACGTATAATTTTAATTCATTTGTTGAATATTTTATCGTTGATTATTAAAATTGTAATGTTGATTATGATTTGACATTAAGTAAATGATAAAGTATTTAATATTTAATAATATTTAGACTAAAATTTACTTTTAATTTACTCAATGGGTTATTTAATTTTATTTTTCTGGTTTTAATTAATACTAATAAAAATAAGAAGTTAATTTATGAATAATTCTAATTATTTTATACATTAATTAACGATAAATCACTACTCTACAAGTGCATGAACAAATATCAGCTTGGAAAGGGAAATTATATCCTGTGCAATCGAGCGATTGGAAGCATTAGAACAATGTCATCATAGTTCGGTATCTGCAGATTGATTTCGTAACTATAAACTTTACGAACATGACCAAATAATTCATAATAATTAAATCAAATTAATGTGCCTAACTCCCTATACACCTGCCAAAGTTCCGGTACCTTCAACAAGTTTCATTTGGAATTCTCGCATTGATTTTGTTTGTAGAATCTGTGAGATATTGGCCAAAGACCTTCTTTGCCAAAACTATTATACAATGCATGCAGTACTTTCAAATCACAATGTCCATAACCATAAATAATTTAGAACGCGATTTTCTATGTTGTTCCCATCGAGGGTTTTCCAACGTCATTCAAGAACATGGAAGAAACAACATAAGCATTAATATTTACGGCATATACTACAATAAATATTTAATAGGTTAAAATATTTTTCTAATTTCTATAGTTTATTCATCTTTATATATATATATATATATATATATAGTTTATTCATTTATTTTAATTTTTATTTCTTATAATTTAAAATATATCTTTTTTAATCTTTAACTGTATCTTTTTCAATTATTTTTAGTTCTTATAATTTAAGATATATTTTTTAATCTTTATATTTATAATTTTTTAATCATTTTTATTTTTAATATCTAATTTAAAGAAATTAATAAAATTAATTCAACATTAATCACATGTTGAATTATTATCTTCATCACATAAAAGAAATAGACAACAGTACAAAAAAAATTACAATAAGAACTAAAAAGATTAAAAAATGTATGTATAAGAACTTATATATATATATATATATAATTATAAAGACTATAAAAAATTGAAGAATAAATTTATAAATTAAAAATATTTATTTTAAATTATAGAGACTAAAAGATAAAGTAAGTAATATTATAGAAACAAAGAAGTATTTTAATATATTTAATATTACACACACTTGTCTATTCTTTCTTCTTCTTTTTTTTTCAAGTTTTATTCTTGGCCCTCTTATTTATTCTTTTCCTTTCCATTCTGATAAGAATTATTGCACAATCGACCAGGTCCACAAGCCAAAACTATAGTGTTGTAACTTCAACACATGTTCAATCCGTAGGGTCACTTTATATGGTACATTAATTATACATCATAATATATGTCCCTAACTAGCTTCCAATTAACCACAGACCCATGAAGTGTTGTTGTGGCTAAATGGCTAACACAAGTCCTGGCAGTGACCTATGGTAGAGATCACGAGGCTGGCTCTGCCACAATGTCATCATGCTATCTTTCTTATTATCTTCCCACCTTGGTGCCCTCAAGTCCCTCACCACAAGCCATGTGTTGAAGTACTCTCTAAACTGAGTTATGAGGCCATTTTTGAGGGTCCAAACGTGCACCCAATAGGCCTGGCCCTCCCACCCCTCGGCGATCACGCAGTCGCCGATGGCGGCCACCCGCCTCGGCTCGAACCGGAAGCCCTTGTTGAGATCTGTCTCCCCCGTGAGCACCCTCATCATGTGGTGGCACTGAGGAGGGCCATGGAACCACCACTCTAGATCACTTGCTAACAATTTGGCCACATTTTCCATTGTCCCTTGCCCTAATAGTGCCTTGTAGAGCATCTCAACTGTTGCCTTGTTTTGTGTTTCCACCTTTTCATGAGTCTCCATGTGCCCTAGAATTTTTGTGCTTCTAGGTTTGTGTTTTAGGAAATGGTTACACAAGTTGTGCATGTCATGGAGGATTTGGTTCATGGTGTCACATTTTATAGGGCTAGATAGGATGGCATATTATCCAAGTTTTTGGTATCTTTTTATTTGATTCTAAAAAGCATAGATGGTTGAGATTGATTGATTTATGATGTGGGGGATTGGAGGGTGTGGATCAGCTCCTAGAAGTAGTGATTAATGTGCGTCACACCAAGGTGTACATATAATAATTGTAATCGTAAGAGTTGGAGTGGTTTTTATGAGGAGATAACGATGTGAAGTTGTAGGCGTACGTGCATGATAGAGCCAAAACTAAATTTTGGGATGGTTCTGTGGAATGACTAATCAGCCCTTGGGATGGAGTCGTCATTTTCTTTAAGGGTTTAGCCGTTTAGGAATAATCTAAAAGTGCTATGAACTTGAATTAATGCTTTTGGAATGTAGGATTCACGACCGACTCTCCTTTAGTTAAGCATAGGCAATTTGTGTTAGTCCCAACAAATGGTCAATATGTGGTTTTAAATATATTCGCGAGATTTGTGTATAAATTAAACATTATTGAGAGGAGTTCCCCTTTAATGTCTAACTATCTCTCCTAGGAGAATAAATGCTTACAATAAGTGTTGTAATATTTGTTGTCAATCTTAATAGTTTTTTTTTTCGTCCCTGGAGTATCTACCACTGATGGTAGTGACTAATCTCCTCGCTACGTTGGAGACATTTCAAAAGGTGGGATAGCTGGTCCCAAGATTTAACGCGGCTGCATACACAAGGCAGGATTCAAACCCCTGACCTTGTTTAAGAGTGGATCAACACTTACCGCTGAACCACACGTTTAGGATTGTCAATCTTAATAGTTACGAATTCTTTCCTATAATCACAAATAATATTTTGAAACATGTGATAATACTATCACATTCTCTTCTTAAAAAATAAATAAAACTAGCAAAAAAAAAATTTATGAGAATAACTCTAGGATATTATGAAGAGAGAGAGAAAAAAAATAAGGGAAGAGAACTCAACAAAAACCTTATAAAAATATTATATTTATAATAATAATAATAAAAACAGTACTAGTGTTTTTAAAACCCCTATGTCAAAGAGATAAGATGTGATCAAAGAACGAAGACCAAGTCAATGTAAAACAGTTTTGATAACTAATAGAATTAATTTAAAATAGTTTTCTAAATTCAATCAAATAGAAATATTAACCTAACAAAATATACAACTCTAAGATCATAAGATAATGTATGGGAAACAAAGCCACAAAATCACAATCAAAAAATAGATATTGCAACCAGAGAACTTGATTAATTATGATGCTAACTTTTATCATAAAGTAACTAACATCCTATGAGGTATTGTGAAAATATTGTGCACAGACGAGTAATATTTTTTTTTATATAAAGATCATACGTAATTTTTTTAAAACTAATTAAAGGAATTATTTTACTAAGAGTTTTTTTTATTTCTCTTTTGATTATAAAATATATTGTTAGAATTTATTACATAAGTAGAATTTCTCATTAGGAAAATGATTCCTTTTGCATTTACTACAAATAATTAAAAATATTTAGTGGTCGTGTCACGTGTGGTACCACTTGGTGTCCCCATATGAGCATGGTCATGCTTAACCTTAACTTTCAACCCATTTAGTTATCTCAATCTCACTTAGTAGGACCACTTGGATATATAGTTGACCCGTTACTGTCAGAGAACAATGATTCAATGAAAATGTATGGCATTGCCATTCCCAGGAAAAGGACAATATTATACTTGATCATTCAATACCTTTTAGACACTTGCATCAGATCATCATAAATTTGTTTAGGATTGTGATTAAGATTGATTAAATTAGTGTATACAAGTGGAAGTGAATTTTCATACCATGAGTTAACTTTTAGAGTTAAGATAAAAACAAAATTAATTGCATTATTTTAAGTTTATTTTAGCACTAATTGTTATTAGGGGGAGACCATTTATTATCAGATTATTATCAACCTCCTCATAAGTATTATAAATATCATATTCAAAATGTTGTATAATATTATCATTAAAGTAAAAAAAAAAGTGTATTATATATAAATTCCACATTACTAATAGTTTTTGCTAATTAAGCTAGAAGATTGGTTCATTGACTAATTTGGGGTACTTTTCAAAATTATTTACGTAAATGAAGTTGTTTTGAAACTATTTACACCTTTGAGGCATTTTATTATGGTGTCGTTATGGGTCATAGCGACACCAGTGACACGTGTACCTTTTTTTTTTTTTTTTTTTTTTTTTTTTTTTTTATAATTACGAACGGTTAAAATTTAGCCAATAAAAATTGTTATAGGCTGTAGCGATTTTTGCAAAGTCCTATAGGCTACGTTCTCATTTAAAAAATATAATTAATATATATTTTTTATTATTAAAATAATATTATATCTAAAGGCGCTATGGGGCATAGCGGTACAATGTCGCTATAGGTGATAGCGACACTTTTTTTTATTATAAATATTTTCATTTTATTTTAAATACTTATTTTTTATATTTTTAATTAAAATTACACAAATAAATAAATTTAGTTAAATTTATATTTTCAGTTTTTTGTTTAATTTAATTAAATTTATATTTTCAGTTTTTTGTTTATAAATTTAATTAAAAATAATTATTTGTGTAGTTTTAATTAAATTTTTTTGTTTAATTCTATTAAGATTTTTTTATATATTAATTTAAAAAAAATCGACAAAAAGATAAGTATTTAAAATAAAATAAAAAAATGAAAATAAAAAAAATAAAAAAAAAATTAATTAAAAATAATTATTTGTGTCGCTATGGGTTCTAGTGACATATTTTTTAATTTAATTTCATTTATACTTTCAGTTTTTGGTTTATAAATTTAATTAAAATTAATTTTTTGTGTAGTTGTTTTTTATTTAAATTAAGTCAAGGAAAAAAAATATAAACAAAACTTAATAAAAAAAGAAGTATAAAATTAAAAAAATGGAAAAAAATTTGATAAAATAAATATGGAAATTTAAATATAAAAATTGTTATTTGTGTACTTTTAATTAATTTTTTTTAAGTTTATTCAGATTTTATTTATATGTTAATTTAAAAAAAAGTGACAAAAAAAGAAGTATTTAAATTTATAATTCTGTTTTATCCATTTTGTTTTAATTTTATTCTTTCATTTAATTTTTTAATTTTAATTTATATCTTTTAAATATTTTTTTAAACCATTTTTCTTTCATTTTATTTTCTAATTTTTATTTTATATATATTAAATATTTAACAAAGGAGGCGTTATGGCTTATAACGATACAATGTCGCTATAGATTATAGCGACTTCTATTTTTTTTTAGTTATTTACTTATTTTCTTAACTTGTTATATATTTCTGTCAAATTTTAATTTTAATGAAATTTCATTTTTATTACATGTATATTATAAATATTTTTAGTTTTATTTATTTTTTTATGTTATCTTTATTAAAAAATATATTATAAAAAAATTATTTAAATGGTGGCGTTGTAGACTATAACGACTTCATTGAAAGCGTTTTGTGTCGTCATAGGCTATAGCGACATTGATAATATGACGTTCATGACTTCTTAGAATTTAAAAAAGTACACTTGTCACTAGTGTTGCTATGGCTCTTAGCGACATTTTAGTAAAATGCTCCAAAGGTGTAAATTATTTCAAAACAGCCTTATTTACGTAAATAGTTTTGAAAAGTGCCCCAAATTATTCAATCAACCTAGAAGATTTGAGACGTGTTGCGTATTTACATTGGATTTGACCTAATTCTGATTTTGCTAAAGTAACTCGATTAACTCGCGAGACATGTTTTAACAAAGAATAGAGTTTCTCTTACTATATATAATATTTCAAAACTTATAACTGGTACAAAATAAGAAATCATGTAGCAAGAGAATGAAAAAGGAAAAACAAAAACGGATAGAGCAACACAAAATGACGTGTCTTGGGCAGTATTGTTAATTCATTATTAAAATAACTAGGATAAACACAAGCATATAAAATTAAAATTTCATGTGATATTAATGATTTATACCTGTAAAGCAATATTTTAAGTATAATATATATAATTAAACAAGGGCCAAAACAAACGAATGGTGAACACAACTGCAACATAAATGGTCCATCAATTACCATAATTAAGTTTCGTGATTGGTTGGGAATCCTTCCTTAGGTTTTAATGTCTCTACTAGACTGAAAATATGATCTCTAATTCTCTATATAATAAAATTTCTTTTTGTACAGAGAAAAAAAAATAGAAAAAGGACAACGAATTCCTAATTCCAGAGATATATGCAACACTGCAGTATTAATTACGTACATGCACAATTGGATCCAACATGTGCATATAATGAAGCCCCTCATGTACATAGAGTTTGGACATTCTCCTAATCAATGAATTAATAGCATAGGCATATATAATCCACTGCAATTTAATTGACAGAACGACAATGCTTCTGAAAGGTTATGGATGAGAATTGAGAACAAATTTGATTTTCCTTTGATCATATGTACTACATATTTCATAAGTCTGACATGCATATTAATTGCATGGCATGGCATATGCCCCGATTGATCTCCATTATTGGTCCATTATATATTCTAGTTAAATCACTGTTGGTGACATATGATAGGAGAAGGATCATTTTCAATACCGAGAGAAACTGATTGTACAAAAGAATTAATGATGACATGCCATGCCACTTCATTATTACCTAGTTCTAGTTATATCTATTCAAGAACAAGATGAATATTTTGTTGAAGTATGAAAAAGGGTAAATTATCTGACGGACCACTTGAACAAGCGGTGCATGGGTGGTGAATGAATAATGACCGTAGATTAAATGTTAAAAAAAGTAAACGGTTGAGATTTAATTTAATGAGTAAGTTTTAACAATTGCAGAGTAGTTCTTTAAAATTTGTTATTCAGGAACATTTTGTATTGTGTAGGGTTCCCCCTTAATATTTCTCAAAATCTTGCTCTTTCTTGCGGTAAATCCATTAATTATTGCAAACCAGTAATAAAATAAGTAAGCCATCTCAACACTTACAAATTGAACATTCCTAAGCTCATGGGGACTTAAATGCAGATCTAAATTAAAAATATCATCCAAACTATAAATTATCACCCCGTTTTCACTGTCAAAAACCTCAAATCTTCCTTCATTAACAACATTTTCCACTTCTTCACAAATTTCCTGTAAATCAATAACAAAATTCTCATCTTCCTCATTCTCATTTATATGATCTTCTCCTTCATTTATTCCTTGAAAATTAAATACTCCTTCATTTATGCCTTCAAAATTATCTACTCCTTCATTTATGCTTTCACAATTATCTACTGCCACCTAAAAAGTTTTAAGACCATCACAAACTTAAAAAGAATATCAACCTTCATCATCACAGTTATCACAAACATGACACAAC